CTCGGCCTGGCGATCGTCGAGCGCCTCGCGCGCGGGGAGGGCGCGCAGCTGAGCCTGCTGCCGCGTGACGGTGGGGGGCTCATCGCCCGCGTCAGTTGGTCCCCCGGTGTCGCTGCTTGACCCCTCAGGTCTCGGCGCGGAAGTTGCGGCCCAGGCGCGGCCCGGTGCCGAAGTAGTGGCGGAACACGTAAAGCAGGGGCTGCCAACGGGCGGTGTCGATGTGCTGGCTGGCGGGCTGGACGATGGTCTCGTGCGCGTGCACCTGCAGCACTTCGACCTCCAGGATGCGCAGCGGTGGAGCCGCGCCGTCGGCGCTGGGCTGGCAAGGGTGCGCCGCCAGCAGCCGGGCCTCGATCTGCAGCGGGCACTGCGCCACGCGATGCGGCCTCACACGTGTTGAGGGCAGTGCTCGCCAGCCGGTGAGGGCGAACTTGTCCTCGACGTGGCGATAGCCCATCTCGGCCTTGTCCACCGGCACCGGCCAGCGCCCGGTCGTCGGGGCCAGCCGTTCGACGCCCTCGTGCTGGGCCGGGCCGGGCAGGTTGATGACAAGCTCTCGCCGTGCCAGCAGGTTCTCGCAGCCTTGGGACGCTTCGGCCAGGCCCAGCACCAGGCGGTCGGCCAGCGCCCAGACGGAGGACATCGGCGTCAGGTTGGTGTGGCCGTCGGCATTGAGTGTGCTGAGCACGGCGATGGGCGTACCGAAGTACAGCACGCTGGGCTGGATGGGGCGGGTGGGGGGCAGCGAAGACGTGTGCATGACCGCCATCGTCAGGGCTGGGCTCCTCGCGAGACTTCGCCGCGTGTCGAAGTCTCGCGCCCCGTGCCCTTCGGCGTCAGCGCGCGGCCACGAAGCGGTACTCGTGCTGCGCGTCGCGCAGGATGAGCGTCGGCTTGGCGGCCTTGTCGTCGCGGACCAGCTCGATGCCGCCGATGCCCGGGTCGATGGTCCAGTAGCTCTGCGTGCCGTCCTCGTTCTTGCGCAGTGCGACTTCGCTGTTCCAGTGCGCGAAATGAAAGCGCAGCTTGCCGCCCTTGCGCTCGATGCGCAGGCCGCCGAGCTCGGGGCTGTCGTACTTGGCGGCGAGCACCTTCATCGCGTCGGCAGGCACGGGCAGGGTCAGCAGCTGGCGCATCTTGTCGGCCTCGGCCTTGCGGTTGGCCACGGCCACCTTCAGCCGCTCATCGGCCTCGGGGCGGCCGTCGAACATCACCTCCAGCAGCTTGCGCTGCAGCGGCCCGCGCAGCAGCACGCCGGCGTCGGAGTTGGTCAGGATGGTGACGCCCGCGTTGTACTCGGGCAGCCAGATCATGTTGGAGTGAAAGCCGAGCATGTCGCCGCCGTGCGAGGCGACGGTGATGCCGTACTGCCTGTCCACGAACAGGCCCATGCCGTAGTAGACGTCTTCGCCCACCATCACCTGCGGCTTGTAGCGTTCGGCCCAGTTGGCTTCGCCGATCAGCGGCTGGCCCTCGGGCGTCTTGCCCTTGTTCAGCTCCATCAGCACCCAGCGGCTGAAGTCGTTGGGCGAGGTCCAGACCGCGCCCGCCGGCCGCGCCGGGATGATGGTGCGGTTGACGTCCATGCTGGCGCGCTGCGTGCTGCCGTCGAAGGCATCGCCATGCGGCCAGGCGCGGTTGCCGCGCAGCGCGCGGCCGAAGTCGAAGGTCGTGTTCTTCATGCCGAGTGGCCCGAAGAGCAGCTCCTGCATCGCCTGGTCGTAGGCCACGCCCACTTCCTTGCCCGGCTTGAGCGCGGCGGCCGCGATGTAGCCGCCCGCACCCACCATCAGGTTGCTGTACTGGAAGACCTCGCCGAATTTGCTGGTGGGCTTCATGACCCCGAGCTGGTCGAAGGTTGTCTTCGCTGGTGCGGCGCCGTTGCCGAACAGCCATTCCAGGTCCTGCCGCGGCATGCCAGTGCAGGCGCAGACGAGGTGCTTGATCTGCACGCTCTTCGTCACGTCGGGGTCGGCCAGCTTGAAGGCCGGGAAGGCCTCGGCCGCGGGCTGGTCCCAGCGCAGCTTGCCGGCGTCCACGGCGCGCGCCAGCAGCGCGGTCGTCATGGCCTTGGTGTTGCTCGCGGCCATGAAGAGCGTGTCGGCGTCCACCGGCTGCGGCTTGCCCAGCTCGCGCACCCCCAGGCCGCCGGCCCAGACCACCTTGCCGCCGTCGATGAAGCTCAGGCCCACGCCGGGCACGTCGAGCTGCTTCATGCCGTCAGCGATGAAAGCCTTCAGTTGCTCGATGCGCTCGGGCGTCAACGGCTTGGCGGTCTTGCCGGCAAAGCTCTCGCGCGCGTAGCCCTGCGGGCGCAGGCTGCTGAAGAACTTGCCGATCGGGGCGCTGCGC